TACTTTAGACATTATTTTTTACACTGACAAAGCAACACATCCAAATAATAACCTGTCAAAACATAAACAATACGTAAGGTGGCTTCAGTGGCTAGTCAATAATGTACTTCTAATGTGACCACTTATATGTATTGCTGTCAAAACAGAACATCGCTTACAAATCACGCAACGAAACAAAAATACATTCCGTAGCTACTTATAGCATAAAACAGATACCTATAATAATTACCTTATCATTTTTACAATGCTTTTCAATAATAACACACACATTACGAATTCAAATTGAAATAATACACGAGTATTACACAAAGAAGGTGGTAATTTCAATGCATAATTAATAAAAAAAAAAACTTCCTGAATCGTAATGGACGCACAAGTAATAGACCTAGTAAAGTTAACGGGTCACTAAAACTTATCTGTGTCCAGTATTGCGTGACAAAATACGAGTGTACAGCTATCAGATGTAACTTCGGACGGACGGGGGTGACTATTCAGCTATCACCCGACACTTGGCACTAAACTACTGGCCTATCTCCCTTCACACCCTGCCAGTTCCCTCGTGTCAATTTGAATAAAGTACGAATAAAAAACTCTAGTATAAGGACACCGTAATCGGCCCCCGATTTTATCAAGCCCCGTGCCAAACATGTAGGCACTTTTTACGCTCCGAAAAACCAGAAATAAGATAAAAGAACCAATAAAAATAAAAGGAACTAGATGAAAATATGTTCCAATAACGTTTGGTTGATCGATGATCCCTAGTAAATAATGGTATATGTGTATTTTACTACATTATTATGATTTTTGTAAAAAAATTTTGTTAACGTTTGTGTATATCAACAATGCGAATGTAGGAATATATCTACTAATAATAAGTTATACAACATTGGTTTCACAACAATATTATGCACCATAATAGTAACTCAAAGTCAAAGTCAAAATCATTTATTTCAATTAGACCAGGAAGACACTTTTGAACGTCAATAACAAAAATTTAGAAGCGAACCTAGTTGCTCATTCCAAGGTGTAGATTCGTACTGTACCTTAATTAAACTATTGATGAAAAATAATTCAAATTTACAATGTCTCCTTACTATTACTAGTTCGTAACAAACCAATAATCACGACTCAGATAAAGTACGACAGTCAACTTTATAGTAGGAAAAATTGTAAAGGAAATCTTTGGAATAGATATTGGAAATTGCAGCAGATATCAAATTTAATATCAACGACAGTTTGCAATCTACGTTTTCAGTCTTATGTAACTTCCAGTTTTTGGAGTCAGTAAAAACTGGCAATGACGTTTGTGTTCATTTAAATAACCACACTAGGGAAGC